ATTGCTTGTAGAGGATGATCGACAAGATGCTCACGAGCATCATCAGGACCTTCAACATGTCCTAATTCTCCTCCTCCACCGTATCTTCCACACCTCCTCAATCTCCATCACAAGGGCCTCCACACTCTCGCCCATGATGATCCCCTCGAGGCACTCCATAAGCTCCGCCTCCCCCGTCGACAAAGTAGGCGAACTCTGCCTCGAGCTCCTCCAGGCCAACACTGCTCCATTCCATAGCACCGCCACTGACCCATGGCTAAGTCCGCATCCGTGTACACCTCCAGTCTCCTTTCACTCAGACCGGTGACGCCCTCACCCACATTTCTCTCAAACCACAGGCCCATATCCACGGTCTTGTGCAATTCCCACCTTGGCGCCTTTGTGACTGCCGAAAACATCCGGCTCGTCACGAACATGAGGTCCGGTCGCATCTTGGTGGTGAGCCACAGGACTTCTCCCACCGCCTTTTGCGCTGCCTGCACCTCCGCCGCCGTGATGTTTTCCTCCTCCGGCATCTCCGTCATATCCTTACTGATCGGGATGACCGAACCATAGCCACCATCTCCATACCGGTTCAGGAGCTCCTGTACGCCGCCTGCCCAAGATGGTAACCTCTCTCCGTGCGGCCGATCTCCATGCCGCACTCACCTTGGCTCCCAAAGTGACAAACTCCGGCTCGCTTGTCTCCCACTTCCCCCGGATCACCCGGTAGAGCTCCTCTGCGTGAGCTTGTCCGTGTACGCCAAGATGTCGTCCACATAGATCGCCATCAGGCCTGTCAGCTCCCCACGCTCATCATCTCTCCCCTTACCCTTCAGGATCTTCCAGACATTCGGATCCGACACCGTTTGCTCCAGCCAGAAGACGTCGGACCCTCTCTTCCAGTCCATAGTCCTCATGTTCTGGTCCCGGAAAACTGACCATCTTCTTGGCGACTGGCGCAAACCATACAGGGCCTTTGTGACTGCCCAGTAATCATCTCGCCTGCATAGCCCAAGGGATACCAAGATGGCTGGCGGCTTCATCAACAACACCTTCTCCGGCTTTCCGGTCTTCTTTTGGAGGGGGGCATTCAGGAATGCGGTCGTTCTCCGCCGCGTACTTGGTGATGGTCCGAATGGAGATCGCATCTGAACCTCCCGCATAAAGGGGCTCATCCGAATCCTTGCCTCCTGCCTCCGCATAGTTGCCACAAATCACGATGCGGCACTTCTTCTTTCCGGTAGGTGCCTTGATCGTTGGTGACCTGTCTGACCGCCTCCTTGCCCTCCAGCAACGACTCCACTTCTGCCTTGATCGCTCCTTGTTCCTCAGAACCTCTGCTTGACTGGCAATCCGGGTCTGCCACACCTCTGCTTCTTTTCCGGGCCCATGATCTCCTCAATCAGAGCCTCTTCCATCGCCTTCATCTCCTGGATCTTGGCGGCCGTGATTTTTTTCAGGACATCACCGACGTCTTGGCTTCTCATTTTGCAGGGTTGCCCGCAACATCAGAAGGGCGCCCAATTCGGTCTCTCTCTCTTCGCCTGCGTTGGTCTTTCCTCTGATCCTCCTCCGTGGCCCGCTGAACCGGAGCAGAAGGAGGACACTGGAGAAGGGGCTTGTGCTCCACTTGTATGCGGGTGAGAAGGACGGCTACACCTTGCAGAGGGCGCTGAAAGAGGTGGGCGGCGACAAATGGTGGAGGTGGACTTGAAGAGAGGCCAGGAGCACGACATGATAGATGGGCCCCTCTATGCGTCACTGTTGAGAGCGGCGGACCGAATTGCCGGACAAGAAGCGCGCTGCGACATTATCCGTTGCCCGCAGGGAGGCCTCGCCCAGGAGTCTGCGAGAACGGAGAACAGCAGAAAGGGATCAACGAAGGCGAGGGTGACCTTCTTGCTGGAGCAGCCGGAAGCCCCGGACTACATGCCTGAGTGTGGGTCATGGTGGAGGACGGACAACTACCGGAACTTCAGGGACCAGCATGGTTTCGTGGAGCATTGCTTCCGCCAGGGGAACTACGGCGGGGTGGCAGTGAAGCCCACGATGGTGGTCACGGACTTGAGTGTGGAGCTCCCACCTTGGAGGTCGTCTGGCAGTGGGAAGCTCGGCGGCTTTGTCAAGATGGGCACCGGGTTTCATGCGTGAGGTGGCCCGGGCAAAGCATGTCCGGCACGGACATGTGCCTTTTCGGAGGGACTGCCGGGTATGTCAGGAAGCCTCGGCGCGGGGGAAGAGAAAAGCCGCATTTCCTACCCGGATGCCGCGGTGCTGAACGCGGATCTCCGCGGACCTTATAAGGCTGGGAAGGACATCAATGATGCCACGATGAAGTACTTTCTCATCGGCTCCTTCACCTGGTCAGCGGAGGAGGATCAGAAGGAGTTCTTTGAGGAAAAGAAAGGAAGTGAGGAGAAGGGCGACGACAAAGAGGATCCGGATTGCGAGAAAGGGGATCTGGATTGCGAGAAAGGAGAAGGTGATGGTGAAGAGCGGGGAGGACCAGGTCTGGACCCCGAAGAAAAAGCGAAGGCGGAGTGTGGGGAGCCGAAGCCGCTGAAGCTGATCGTCAAGGCCATCCCTGTTGCCACCGACAGCACTGTAGCTGCGACTTCGCCAAGCTTATCTTGAAGCTGAGGTCCCGGTTGCCCTCCAGCACCTTCCGAACCAGGCGATGCAAGCCTCGATTGAGAACCGAGGGATCCGGCAAGGACACCCCGATCTCCTCCGCCCGCCGCTTCCATCGAAGCCACCTTCTGATGCCCGTCACAGCCGCCTGGATGCTGTTCGCCTCCAGAGGTTGCTCCAAGTTCCTCAGACTCGTTCAGCGATGCTGCCCGGCTGGTACATCATCATCAGCTTGCAGACCAGCGACAGAGCGTTTAGGCTCTTCGTCGCCACCAACTCATCCTTGACCTGGTCGGGCACCGCCCTCACAAGCAACGTGACCGCCTTCCTTTCCACTCTCCTCCACTCGGGGCTTTCCGACTCTCCTTTCGTCGGCACCATCGCCAGTCTTTTCAACGGCGCCTCCTGCATGTACTTATCGTACCACGCCTTCGCCTCTTGCAACACGCTCCCACCACTCCTGGCTGGTCTCCGAGATGTCCGCCATCGCCGGGGTAATCAACGTCAGCCAGTCCTGCAGGTCGATTGAGCTCGTCTCCGCACACAGCTCAATCGCTCCGGCCTTCACCATCTCCACCTGATCATCATCCTTGCCCTTGGCACCGCTGACCAGCGTCTTCTGGATCTGTTGCATGCCCTCCATGAGCTTCAGAATGATCGCGAGGTGGTCTGGGTTAGACTTCTCCTCGTCCCGAATCATTTCCTCCGAGGATTCCGGCTTGTGGTTGTCCACGCCCTTCACGCTGGGGTGATCCGGAGTCACATAGGTCTCCCCCGAACCAGTGGCCGCCTTGAGCTGATTGTTCTTCCTTCTGCAACCGTTGGATTTCCTGAGGAGGTAGTCCCGGTTTTCTTTGCCCTGGGTCTTGCTGTAGACCGTCCCCATCTGGTGCCCGATGAAGCCTCTCCTGGTCCAAAAACCCAGGCCTCACCAGCTGAAGTTCCGGCTCCTCCTTCGCCTTCCCCAGGTTCACCAGTCCTCCCGGCTTGTCCCACCGCTGCAGGTACCGGTGATGCCCACGGGTTTCTCGACGCCGTAGACCAAAGCCATCACCGTGCCCGGGGTTTCCGTTCCTTCTCCAGTGCCGCCATCCACAGCACCATCAAAACTTGCAACTCCTCCTCCTCCTCCAAGCGGGCGTCTTCCGAGTCGACCTTGGCCCGCTGCTTGAGCTGCCAACGCCAGCTCCTGGCCGATCAGCTCAAGGCCCGGCGCCGGCTCCACCAGTACCAGGGCCTCTTGCTGACTGCCCTGGTTTGGCTCCCCCACCTGAAGGTCTCCTGTAGAAGGTCTCCATCAGGCCCTTGCGCTCCTTTGTCTCCATGGAGGGTGTGTGGGTTCATAACCTGCTAATCTGCAGGAACCTTTTTGTCTTGATATTCAAAGGGCTTCGGTCGATTCGCGCCCTGTACAATAGAAATTCTCTGGTCAAAAGTTTCTATCTTTGTGCAAGCCCTGTGTTTTTCAGGCTTTGCGGAAAGATAGAAACTTTTGCTACGGCTCATGGCCCCGCAAAAATCAAATTATTTGCTCGCAAGTACTAAATTGAGGATTGCCAGTACTAAATTTAGTATTGGCAGTACTAAATTTCACATTTGCCAGTACTTGATTGTGTGTCTCCTTAGTGTTGCAAGTATTAAACTTAGAATTGCCAGTACTGAATTCAGTATTCATTGCCAGTACTAAATGTAGTGTCGCCAGTCCTAAATTTGCATTGCCAGTATTTCATTTTGTATTGCAAATGCACAATTTAGTGTTGTCACTACTAGGTTTAGTCTTTCGTAAATATTATGACCCATTGGGCCATGAGGTGTTGCAAGAGTTTCTATCTTGCTGCAGACTCTGTAAAATACAGGGTGTGCAGCAAGATAAAAACTTTGATTCTTTCCTGGATATACATTTCTATCATTTCCGGATGTTAATTGCGAATGCAAAATGAACCCTTCGCAGGGTTTCAGCAAGATAGAAACTCTCGGACCTGCGCGCGCTCCCAAAAAGCGGCGCCTCGAATACTACTCTCCTTCTTCGAGCGTTGATCTTTGGGAGCGCGCGCGAAAGTTTCTATCTTTGCGCGGCACAACCCTCCCAAATGCATCTTTGGGAGCGCGCGACGTTTCTATCTTCTCCAGGAGCTTTATAAGTGACGCGATCCCCTCAATTCGTGCTCACGAAAGCTTGCACAGAACTGCAGTATGCCGAAAGCGCGAGACTGTCAGCGGAGGTTTGCGCTTTGGAATACCTATTGGGAGGTTGTGGCGCGCGGCATGTGGCTGTTGGTTCCAATGATGTTTGTGTTTGATACTTATCAAATATGTGCCCAGCGGCTGTTTCGCCCTGAAATTCTGGCCAAAATACAAGATTGAAGTCTGAGTTCTTGGAGCCCAAGGCTGGCGTTATCTCTGGCTATCGCCGTGATCCTCGTCAAGCTCCTCTTGACAGCGCACGGCCACAGCCATGGCCACCACTGGCACCGATGGTGGCGGCGAAAAAGGCCCCCGTGCAATTTTTCGACATGGCTGGCTGGGGTCAAAATTTCGTCCCGGGGAAGACGCGGCCATCTTGACTTGGCTGTGGGTGCGCCACCCATTTTAGAACCTATGTTAGTGGAGTTTGGGATGTTCACTGGGGGTGCGCGGTTTTGACCCATATTCACTTGAGAAAATCGATGTCTGGCACAAAGCAGCCGATGTATTGAAGTCGCAGGCACCTCAAATTTGGTCGCCATTCATTATCCGCCAGATAGCAGCACGTCATGTCTCCTCCTGTATGACCGCGTCACTGGCTTGTCACGGCCTGCTTGCCGGACTTCACCTCAACCAACAGTTTGTGGTTTGACCCTAACCCTTTGCTCTTTACATGCTCGCTTAGAAGCTGCTCAGCGCTCCGTTTGCAAGGCTTGTATGAGAGCCTTACCTGGAACCCTCTAAATGTGGGAGAACCATCTACGGCTTGTAAGTTGGCGGCGCCTGTACCTGGAAAAGTCCCCTGATTCCGAGCGTGCGCCATTGACTCAACTGCACAGATGCGTCAACCGTGCACAGACTCGACATACTGCGCATCGTGCGCGTGCCAGCCGCGTTCTTCGCGCTGTGCCCGATGCGCCACGCTGGCATTCACGTCAGTTGCTACGACGGTGAGCAAAGTTTTCGCCGCTGTCCTGCACTGAGAAACGCCCGCATTTGTCTTCTCTTGCGATCGGTGCGAGAGATGCAGGGAATGAGAAATGGAATGCCCCCTGTAAGCTGTGAGAAATAGAATGACCTTTTCTGGTTACACCTGGTTTCCTTTCTCAGACAATCCCAAATCGGTTCATTCAACCACAGGCACTGGTGGCCAAGCCGTGAGCGCCTGGCTCTCATGGCGGCGTTGCTGCTGGCCTGGCGCGCCGCCCAGCAGAAGACCAAACAGTCACAGCCACGTAGGAGGAGGCCGGGCGAGGAAATGGCGGGCCAAGGCAGGCTGTGGGTCAAAACCGTTTTGGGACCCTATTTTGGTAGGTGACTTCACCACCAGTTTAGAACCGATCTTAGTGGGGATTGGGATGTTCACTGGGGCCTGGGGGTATCGGCTTTTGACCCATGGCCATGGGGGTTGCTCAATACTCCGTTAAAGGCCCCCAGTTCAACGACTATAGGTAACCTTTCCCATGTGGTTGAAGTATCATTTTTAGTGGTGTTCCCACCAATGCTTTTGATCAACCCCCCATGTGACAATGAAAACATTGGACGTTTCCTGGACTAAGCTGTGGACAGGCGCCGGCTATCTTTGATGGCCATGTCACTTGTGCTCGCATCTACTCCCAGAGGCTTGAGGTTGCATTCTTGGCTTTGCGGGTTAGCCAAATCAACGCTGGTGGAATGAGCCCGTCAATGTTCACCCTTTCCAACGGTGAGCAAGACTGCTGCCTACCGGCTTGTTTGGTTCTGACTGGAATCAACCAAGATGACCGTGCAAAGACCGGACGGCTTGGATGTTGGACTGCGGCAACTTTTCAGGGGCCTGGGCCAGCTGGCCCGAGAAGCAGAGCAAGTGGAGTGTTCCAGTTGATTGTTATACCCCCATCAAAGGGTTGCAGAGCAGGATCGTTTCTGCTTCATGCCATTTCAACGAAGTGGTTCCTTGAGTTGCAGGTCAAGGCCGCTCAAGCAGCCGAACGACACCTCGAGAGACGCGCAAATGAAGAAGCTGAAGACTGCCGTCCGGGAAGCGGGACTTGTTTTTCTCTGTGTGTGTGTGTTTTGTGTGTGTGTGTGTGTTTGTGTGTGTGTGTGTGTTTTGTGCGTGTTTTGTGTGTGTGTGTGTGCGTTGTGTGTGTTGTGTGTGTGTTTTGTGTTTTTGTGTGCTTTGTGTGTGTGTGTGCGTTGTGTGTGTTTTGTGTGTGTTGTATGTGCTTTGTGTGTTTTGTGTGTGTTTTGTGTGTGTGGTTTGTGTTTTGTGTGTGTTGTGTGTGTTGTGTGTGTGTTGTATGTGTTTTGTGTGTTTTGTGTTTCGTGTGTGTTTGATGTGTGTTGTATGTGTTTTGTGTGTTTTGTGTGTTTTGTGTGTGTTGTGTGTTTTGTGTGGTTTGTGTGTGTTGTGTGTTTTGTGTGTGTGTTGTGTGTTTTGTGTGTGTTTTGTGTGTGTGTTGTATGTGTTTTCTGTGTTTTGTGTGTGTTGTGTGTTGTGTGTGTGTGTTGTATGTGCTTTCTGTGTTTTGTGTGTGTGCGTTGTGTGTGTTGTATGTGCTTTGTGTGTTGTGTGTGCGTTGTGTGTGTTGTATGTGCTTTGTGTGTTGTGTGTGTGTTGTATGTGTTTTCTGTGTTTTGTGTGTGCGTTTTGTGTGTTGTATGTGCTTTGTGTGTTTTGTGTGTGTTGTGTGTGTTTTGTGTGTGTGTGTGTTTTGTGTGTGTGTGTTGTGTCTGTGTTGTGTGTGTTGTGTCTGTGTTGTGTGTGTGTGTTTTGTGTGTGTGTTGTGTGTGTTTTGTGCGTTTTGTGCGGTTTGTGTGTGTTTTGTGTGTGTGTTGTGTGTGTGTGTGTTTTGTGTGTGTTGTGTGTGTTTTGTGTGTTTTGTGTGGTTTGCGTGTTTTGTGCGTTTTGTGAGTTTTGTGTGTGTTTTGTGTGTGTGTTGTGTGTGTGTTGTATGTGTTTTGTGTGTGTGTGTGTTGTGTGTGTGTTGAATGTGTTTTCTGTCTTTTGTGTGTGCGTTGTGTGTATTGTATGTGTTTTGTGTGTTTTGTGTGTGCGTGTTGTGTGTGTTTTGTGTGTGTTGTGTGTTTTGTGTGTGTGTTTTGTGTGTTTTGTGTGTGTGTTGTATGTGTTTTCTGTGTTTTGTGTGTGTTGTGTGTTGTATGTGTTTTGTGTGTGTGTTTTGTGTGTGTGTTTTCTGTGTTTTCTGTGTTTTGTGTGTGTGTGTTGTATGTGTTTTGTGTGTGTGTTGTGTGTGTTTTGTGTGTTGTGTGTGTGTCTTGTGTGTGTGCGTTTTGTGTTTTGTGTGTGTGCGTTTTGTGTGTGCGTGTGTACTTTGTGCGTTTTGTGCGTGTGTGTGTGTGTTGTGTGTGTGTTGTATGTGTGTTGTGTGTTTTGTGTGTGTGTGTTGTGTGTGTTTTGTGCGTTGTGTTTGTGTGTGTTGTTGTGTGTGTGTGTGTGTGTGTGTGTGTTGTGTGTGTGTGTGTGTGTTGTGTGTGTTTTGTGCGTTTTGTGCGGTTTGTGTGTGTTTTGTGTGTGTGTGTGTTGTGTGTGTGTTGTGTGTGTGTGTGTGTGTGTTGTGTGTGTTTTGTGCGTTTTGTGCGGTTTGTGTGTGTTTTGTGTGTGTGTGTGTTGTGTGTGTGTTGTGTGTTTTGTGTGTGTGTGTTGTGTGTGTTTTGTGCGTTTTGTGCGGTTTGTGTGTGTTTTGTGTGTGTGTGTGTTGTGTGTGTGTTGTGTGTTTTGTGTGTGTGTGTTGTGTGTGTTTTGTGCGTTTTGTGCGGTTTGTGTGTGTTTTGTGTGTGTGTGTGTTGTGTGTGTGTTGTGTGTTTTGTGTGTGTGTGTTGTGTGTGTTTTGTGCGTTTTGTGCGGTTTGTGTGTGTTTTGTGTGTGTGTGTGTGTTGTGTGTGTGTTGTGTGTGTTGTGTGTGTGTTGTGTGTGTGTGTCTTGTGTGTGTCTTGTGTGTGTGTCTGCGGTTTGTGTGTGTGTGCGTGTGTATTTTGTGCGTTTTGTGTGTGTGTGTGTTTGTGCGTGTGTGTTTTGTGCGTGTGTATTTTTGCGTGTGTGTGTGTGTGTGTGTGTGTTTTGCGCGTGTGTGTTTTGTGCGTGTGTGCGTTTGTGCATGTGTGCGTGTGTGCGTGTGCGTGTGTGTGTGTGTGTGTTGTGTGTGTGTGTGTGTGTTTTGTTTGTGTGTGTGTGTTTTGTGTGTGTGTGTGTTTTGTGTGTGTGTGTGTTTTGTGTGGTTTGCGTGTTTTGTGTATGTGTGTGTGTGTCTTGTGTGTTTTGTTTGTGTGTGTTTTGTGTGTTTTGTGTGTGTGTGTGTGTGTGTGTTGTGTGTTGTGTGCTGTGTTGTGTGTGTTGTGTGTTGTGTGTTGTGTGTTGTGTGTTGTGTGTGTGTGTGTTGGTGTGGTGTTGTGCGTGCGTGTGTCTGTGTGTGTGTGTTTGTATTTTATTTGTGCTTGTGTTTGTGTTTGTGTTTGTTTGTTTGTTTTGTGTGTTGGTGTGGTTTTGCTCGTGTGTGCGTGTTTGTTTGGGTGTTTGCTGGCATTTCAGTGAAGAACATGCTTTCCAATTGACCGAAGTTGCCTTGACGCTTTCAGCGACTTGAGAAAAGTTCTTGTTCCCGGCACCTTCCGGGGGAGATCGTCCCAGTTTTGCCCATTGCGGAAATGCAGTGGGGACGCGGAACTCCAAGAGCACAAGTTTACATGGGACACAAGAGAGGAGTCAAGGGGAATGAAGCAAAAGTGACACTATACAGAACAACATCCTCTAAGTGTATCCCATATGTACATATATGCATGGTTACCTCTACATATACATATATACACGGTCAGGTGTTGTTTGTCTCTCCAGCGCCAGTGAGGCATGCCTGTGTGGTCTCACCAACACTTGCGCAAATTCTGGTCTAGACTAGTGGCTTTAGACCATGGGCCGCATGGGTATTGAGTGCTGACTGACTCAATCTGAAGTTTTTGGGTGAAGGAGCTACGAAGAAGGCAGGTCCTGGCAGGTAAAGAAGTCATAAGATGTTGCGACACGAATTTAGTCCGCTGAAGCCGAATGAGCAATCGAAAGCTAGGTAAAGTTCATGACGCTAGGCGTTTTCACCAAACATGTGGTTCTTCGGTGCCACCTCAAACCCGAAACCTCTTTTGGACACTTCGCTTGTCAGGGGGATGCACTTCGAGCTGCCATCTTGCTAGAGACCTGGGGTCAAGGCCGTTAGCCCGCTGATGTTTGCGCGCGGAGCGATCCGTGCGCTGTCCAAGGGCTTGGTGAAATCCGCCACTGGCATACGATACTGAAAGTCGAAAGCGTGTTTTCGTTTATTTTCTTCAGGTTCGCCAAATTGCATTGTTGGGCATACTGGTCCGCACTTTCTATCACATTCGCTGCTCCTCAAAGGGGGAGGTTTTACTCATCAACCAGGGGCTATGGCACATTTGTGCTTGGAAGCATTCGGAAACCGCTACATGCTAGGGAAGCAAGCGGCTGGACAGATTATCTTGGAAACGGATGACATAAGTGTTTCTTGGGTCCGCATGGGTGTATCTCAAAATACGGGAACCCCTGAGGGGGTTTCTGTTGGTCTCCCCTTCCGTAACATGCACCTTGCGTCGCCAAAATCAATAAATGAAGACCTCGGCGGTACGGACCGCGCCTTGGCAAATGACTCCTTCGGAGAGGTTGGGCGCCTCTGACGCGGGCAGACTTGCAGGTGCTGCTGGAGGAGGCATGCGCGTTTTCTGATCCGAATCAAATCAACAAATAGAACTGTTGAAAGTATCAACTGATCGTTCTCATGCAAGCTTTTCTGATCCGAAGCAAACAGTATCTCCAACCACTTGTCATGTCGCTGGGCACGTTTGTTGATGCATTGATTGAAACTTCTAAACGTTCCTCAGACGCCTCCATCAAATTTCGCAAAGGCAGCTCGTTTTGCGCCTGTGCCGGACCTGCTCCGTGCGCTGGCTGAGCAGCTCGCGGCGATGGGTTCCCGTGGCTGCAGTGGATCGTGAGTGTAGTGTTTGGTAGTCTTGCGATCAGTGCGATAGGCACCGAATGAGAAACAGAATGACCCCGAAATAGACCATCCCACTGGTGGTTTCCTTTCAGGGGAATGCTGGGTTCATTCCCACATTCTCTACTGAGCACCAGCAAGTATTGTTCGATAGTTGTTCGGTCATGGTTTGGCGCAGCTGGCCAAACCCGAGATATGTCAATTGTACTTCAGCACAGAAGTATTGGTCATTCCAAGTGGTGTAGACGAACAAGCTGCAGCCGGCCGACCGTGAGCCAAGCCTTTACATTCAAGCGGCTGCAGAACAGGTTCATGTAGTTTTCCCGAATGGGTGCAGTATTTGTGGGTGAACATGTCCCATGCGCAAAACGCAGCTGATTGCAGCCCAAGCCACTTGCTTCTAGGCGAAGAGCTTTAAGCGCTTTAAACACATATCCGTTTACATTTGGTTGCGTGCAAAGGAGCTGTTGCGGGATGGCCGATCTCCTGACATGCATGAATATAGCACGTGCATCATGCGCATGCAATTCGCCTTGTCACGGACGATCGAACTGCCAAGTAAGGAGTTCCTTTGGACTGGTCGCTGCAAAACGACTGCCGCGGTAATTTTGGTCGCTATGCCTTAGACGCCGCCTTGGAGGCTGTGGTGCAGGCGCGAGGGAATTACTGGCTCAGGATTTTTTGGGCCAATACGTCAGTCAAAGAGCAGCCCTTGCGTTCGTTGCAGGAGTCCCGCAGCGAGAATGCCGCGCTGACTTTGCTCAACATCGGGCAGCGTCTGCTGGCAAATTTGACGCGGCGATTAGACACTTAGTACATGGCTGTCATGATGTTGGTAAAACTGCCTTTTTTGCGTGTGCGTGTTGGCGCGCTGGAGTCAGTCAGAATAGATTTCAACACGTGATAGCTCACACATGCCGAGCAACTGCACCACACAAGCAAAGCAATGAACCTAGGCAACCATTGCCATAGGCAATTTCTTGCAGCCCACATTGGCAAGCCCCGTCAGGCAGCAACCAAGGGGACACCTCGCAATTGCGCCTTGATTGCAAAAGGCCGATTTACGGTGTTGGGAAAATACCAAAAGGGCAGCTTGCTGCCACCACTTGTGGTTTAGACCATCAATTCTCCGGAGTTTGGTCGATCTTAAGCCTCGGTGGTGACTGTGGCCCTCAAAATTATTCTTTGGGACATGCTTGCGACGGCCACTGAGCTCGTGCAGGAAATGCCAAGGGAGCTAAGTCAAATGCAGTCAACACATGGACCTGTCACGCATGCCGGCCATTCGCTGAGGGATGCTGACCCCTTGCTGCGTGTGGCTGCAGCTCAGGGTATGACTCGGCCACTTGGGAAGTCTTAGCAACATGGGGCCCTGGGTTGACACACTGATCTTCAGCTTTTGAGGTTTGGTCAAAGTATCCAGTCTATGGTCCATGTGGGAGGAACACCGGGGACACTAATATTAATTTTCCGGTGTCTTCGGTGTGCGCCTGCCAATTCAACCGTGTCAATCCCCTTCCAAGGATCGAGTCAACCAAGGCTTGTGGAGCGCTTGGTCCAGGAATGCGGCGCAGATGTCAACGCCAAAGCCGCTGGCCATTCGAATGGACGCAGTCACGCAAAAGGCAGACATCCAGCAATTGACAGTTGGGAAGCGCGAGTGCCAATGGACACCGGAGCCTTATGCAAGGGAACAGCATTACAGTTGTGAGGACCCTTCTGCAATCGGAACACGCCGGGAGTCAAAAAGCCATTCGCTTTCCCACTTCCAAGAGCTGGCTAAGGTTGCGCATGCTTAGCCTTGCAAGTAGAGCAAACAGACACGAATGCTTTTTCCAGGTGGAGATGGCACGGGGGGCCCACTCCATTTGCGTGACCACTATTTTTTTTCATCTGATGTCCGCCCCGCCCGAGCGTCCCGCAGCCCCACATTGAAGTAAATCAGTTTGCCGCGCCGTCTCATACTGGCAAACGTAGCTCCACACGAGCCGAGTTGTTTGCGTGCGATGTATTCGTTTAGTGTTCGGGCGGAACTTGTCTTGTGCCGCGGTAGGCATTCTGCGTAGGCCGTTCCAAAATGCAGGTTTGAGCAGGTGTGTGTTTGCCATATACAGCGAAGCCGCGCGCCGAGGCGCTCGCGTAGTCGACTTTGGACGAAGTAGGCACCCTTCCAGGTGCCCTGCACACCTGCGGAGGCATACGCGTGGGCATGCTTCTAGTGTACATATGTGCCCAGCACAAAGAGAGCCGGGGAACCCAAGACCAAGCAGACCATCTGCGTTTGTTTTTTCCTGGACCACATCCCTCCGGCGCACAGGACGCATCCGCCTGTCCTGGCTGCTCCACTGAGTCAGATCCCGACAGCGCGCGCAGCCGTCCTCCTTACTGAATCCCACCGCTGCGCGGACGTCACGTGCGGTGATGGAACCAATGTGGCCATTTCCCGGTCACATCCAACCAAATCCCAAAGGCGCAGCTCAGATCCTACCGGCAATTCAGTGGGCAAGCCGCCTATTCGGCCATTTCCCTTCGAGCGGCATTCTCGCCATGCCTGAAGCAGGCCCCAGCCGATCCTCTCTTTTTCTCTCTCTTTCTCTCTTTTTCCTTTTTCTTTTTCTCTCTTTCTCTCTTTCTCTCTTTTTCTCTGTTTCTCTTTTTCTCTTTGACTCTCTCTCTCTCTCTCTCTCTTTCTCTCTTTCTCTCGCTATTGGACAACAAGAAAGATGAGAGCCGAACCCACAGAGGGGCTGTTGGGGAACAGCTACCTTCTGGTAATTTGCGTTTCACATGGTTGCGGAAGTTGGGGGCGCGCTTTACTCACAAAGCCAGTGAGCACCGTCACACGTCATGGACTCAGGAACTTGCCAGAATAGTAATTGCTTTCCGCAAGCGCGCAGCTGCCCTGCTGCCCTGCCCTTGTTGGATTGGAAGTGAAGGGACGATCAACAGTTTATTTGGACGAGAACGAACCCCCACAGACAATAGCCAGAATCCCATAAGGTCAAATGAACCCTGAAGAAAGGAGCAATCACCCTTTGAGACAGCAGGAAAAGGATCCTTAAGGTCTTGGCGCTAGCCATTGAGTTGCACTGCCTCACAGGATCCGCGTTTTGGCAGCATCGCCCTGGATCGAGCAGTAGATGCTGGCAAGGCGGGATGTCAATGGGACGACTTGCTGAGCTTGAGCGGTTTTGCTCAGTTTTTGGCCTGGGCATGAAGCTGCTCTCGGGGCGACGGACCGTTTTAGTTGGTAGTTCTACATGGCTAAAATGGAAGTGAAACAGACATTGAGTGGATACACCGGAGTGTTTGCTCCACCAATGGCGCGTAGTTTGTTCCGTGCGCCGCTGATGTGTTTCCTGCGCTTCGACAACTTACCATGCTGTGTTCAAGTGTACGATGCGCTGTCTACACTGCCTGCTGTCTGATCTGCTTCACATCTGCTCGTCTGGTGGCGATTTGTATATTGTGCAGTTGGGTGGTGTCTTGATGATGCGTATGTTGCATGTGGAAGGTAGCTTGACATGATTCCAAGGAACATAATTTTGCAGCTTGACAACGAAACGCTTGCCATTGCCTATGCTGCACTAGTCACTAGTCGTGCTCTGCAGGGAGAGCCGGAGGGATGGATGCAAATTACTTTTCTGCTCCGCCTGACAAACTTGCAGTGCCGCAAAACGGGCGCATCCTGCCTACGCTTGCAGTTGCAGCTTGTGACTTGTTCAGAGTCGAGTTGAGCCAGACGGATCGACTTCAGCTCGCATTGTGACAGGAACAGACAGCTCTGAAGCTTCTGCAGCTCGGCGCGGACGCGAGCTGCGGCAAAGGGGTGACTCGGCAAGTTCTCACAGTCATTTCGTCAAGTCGCTCCATGTTTCCCGTCTACTGAGGTTACTGTAGATTCAGAGATTGAGCATGTTGAGAGAGATCACGCCGGTTCCCGCATATGAGATGAGAGACTGGCAACAACTGCAACATGCGTCATGTCAAGAATTGCAAAGCAATAAACATAGATCACTCAAAGATTGGCAACACGCCGGATCTATTTAATACGTTGCTAAACAACGTGGACGGTGAAGACACAGGAGAAGCCGTGCGGAGACTGCCGAGCCTTCTTTTGGTTTCCGTTTATTCAGCCGGGCTCCGCGGCGAAGAGTGCGTAGCCAAACAGGACCGATGAACGTGTTTTTTTTTCCAAGCAGATTTCATGAGGCCGGGCCTTTCCAGAAACGGCACGCGTTTGCTTTTTGACTGAGTTTCTCAACCGAACAGAGCAAGACATGCACCAAACACACGAGTCACACGAGGCCGAGCTTGAAAGGGCCTAGCCTCCTTCGAGGAAGCGTTCGACATCGTTTGACTGATGTGTGCTCGGTGCCCGATTCAAGCAGAGTTGTCGGGATCCTGGGTTTGTTGCGCAAACGATACGGAAAATGATTGCGTTGATGAGCAACTTAGTCTGCAAGGAATCATGCCAGTTTGTGCTAAGGATTTGTTTTGACCTCATGTATTTGCGTCGCAAATATTAACAGCAGAGATTGGGATGCCTGTTGATTTGTTTTGAGTTTCCTTTCCAGGTTCATGCCCAGACACTGAGAGCAAACGGATCATTCAATTTTGAACATGCGAAGATGTGTTCCTTATTGACGGCTTTGGGCGGTGTGCCCAAGATTTGCTGCGCGCAGACCTTGTTGGCTTGTTCAATGCTTGAATGTGAGGATTGCGGTAGTAGCCTTGTACCAATAGCCCTGAGCAGCCGGAAGCCGGAGCGAGCATGCAGCGACACACCTTTGTTGGTCATGCCATATCTGCCAGCAGACTGGCCGGCAGCAAGTTGGATTGAACAACAACCCCGGGCAAGCGGTGGTGAAATGTTGATTGTCAGCTTTCTTTACCTGGCTCTCTTTGCTTTGCTTTCTTTGCGGCGCCTTGCGCTGCTTGTCATGCTTGGCAGGCAGGCAGGCAGGCAGGCAAACAGACAGGCAGGCAGGCAGGCAGCGTTTTCTGGTGGAAAGAGCTGAGTGGTCATCAAGGGCAAAGTTGAACATCCTCCATTCGAGATCACCCACAGTAGAACAGCGAGTTGCGAGTTGTTCGTCGCCGGTCTATTGCAAGCTCAAGGTGGACTACCTCCTGACACGTGCAAGCCCACAGGCTGGATAGTTTTGGCGCAACGAGATGACTTGGTCCTTTGGCACGGGCACAGCGCAGGTTCGCGGCCAGCTCCCGTTGGCAAAGGCGCCAAAGACAGCGCCCGTCAGCGACATCACGGAGGCCTGACGGTCAATCCGTCGTTTGCCGTGCTGAAAATCGCCTGGATGTATTTTTACATTATGCTTGTCGTTCCTTGCTTTCTCCTACAACCCTCCGGCTGACTCCGCTGTATGAGTGCAAGTCCATCCTAGACCCTGATCAACTCTCGCTTTCACTGTTTGCTACAGCGTATCCGGTCCCAAACCCGAAGTTGTAGTTGCTACTCTACGAAATCAGGGCTTTTATGCACATTTGGGGGGGGTGTTGCTTTTTGTTGCACATTGACCTATTCACACACTCCGCTGACATGATGGCTCAAGGCCCTTCAAGTCATTTGTGCAGTCATTCGACTCATGGTACAGTGATAAAAAGGCTTGCAGACCGCTTCACAGGATTCACACTCAACACAAGCCACCAGGGACAATCCATCCTCCAATCCTCCATATTGGCATATTGGACTCTCTCCGGAATAGATCCAGGGACCAAATCAACAACCTCTACTACCACAGGGTACCAGTTCCCTTCTGGGATAGGCACCCCGGCAGTGGGCCTCAATTTGTGGTAGCGGAGCAGGTTTTCTGCAGAGATCCAAGGGAAGATGTCATCCGATGGAGAAGGCTTCATGGAAGCCTATTCAAGTATGGCCAATTTATCGATGACCGCCAAGCAGCCGCCATCGCACGACGGAAAAGTCAGGTGGAAGCACCCAAGAGAGGACCTCTGCTCAAAAGCAGACTCACAGGAGATGCCCACATGTACAAGGCAGTCCTCCAAAATGACCTTTTGCAAGATCCTGATGAAGGAGTCAACTACTTCAAGAACACGCTGAAGAAGCATTTTTTGAAAGGTGCGACCAACGTGTATCTGTACAGGCTCCTCAGTTTCTTCAATCATAGAAGGCAGAACCAAGAGTTCCTCATTTTTACCTCAAAATTCGAAATCCTTCTCATGAGATTGAAGGCAGCATGGATGGACTTGATGCCTGTTTTCACGGCACAGTCCTCATCATTTCGACAGTCCGCACAGGACGCAAACGCAAGAACATTGCTCGACATCAGCAAGCAGCTGGTACTTGAGTACCGCCTCCAGTCCTGCTCGATGAGGGTGATCCAACAGTCCTCAGACAGTATATCACGGGAATGCAGGACAGACAGCGGGACGCATGTCCCTTCGGGGATAATCTCATTGCGCAGTTTTTCATTATTCAAAATGAATTGTCAGATCAGCAGAGAGAAAGACTGACCAGTGCAATGTCACTGAGAAATATTTCACTAGAGAACTACTCCTATGAGATGCTGAAGACGCACTACCATGAACTCTTCATCACAACCAGGACATCCATTCAAGATCCATCCATCCGACCTCAGGGAGGCAACCGAAGCAATACACTCTTCATCATCGAACAAGGTGAATACGAAGGAGAAGAAGGCTTTTTGGGTTGAGGATGAAGAAGGACTTGAAGGATTCATGTCAAACAACGATGAAGAGACAGCCGATTCAAGAAGAGAAAAGGAAAAGGAAAATCAGGAAACAAAAAGGGCAGTCACCAACGAGGTGGCTTTACCCTATCATGGAAACAAGGGTTATCCATCCTATGAGAATTGCAAAGGAAAGGGCGGACATGACAAAGGAAAATCCAAGACGTTCGCAGCTATTGCAGAGAAGACGGAGGAGCAGCCCGCCATCCAGCAGACTGCACCATCCACAGAGCCTACCTATGCCGGTTGGACAGACCAAGATTGGGATCAATCATGGACATGGAACGAACAAGGCTGGCACTCATCCTATGAGACATCCAGCACAGGACAAGCGCTAATGGCATTCCATGACGCATATGAGCATCATGAGAAAGAGGCCACACGGGGAAGCTGAGTTTCAGAACACAATTTGTCCGTCACAACCAAATCGCGCCTGTCATCAACCCTCAGCACAATCCGACCTATGCGATCCTGGACAACGGATGTACCAGATCCATGGGCAGCTGGCATGCAATCCAGCGTTTTACTCAGGCCATCGAACCCATGAAGGACATCATCTCCTATCAGTACATCCCGGCCGAGACCAAGTTCACTTTTGCAAACGGAGAGACCGCCAGGGTAAATTGGACCCTGCATCTTCGATATCACACAACTCCTCCATGCAGTACCAACATCGACGCCCTTGAACAAGGAACTGTACCAATCCTCCTCAGCATCAGTCAGATGCGGAACCTCTACATGACCATCGAGCACACACCTCAATGTGCAAGATCACACGCAAGGCTTTTGGCATGAACCGTCAAGCAGTTCCAGTATCCGGTACAGGACATGCGCTCGTCGACCTTGCTGGAGTTGCAAGTGAAGGCGCATGGAGAAATTGCTCACAAGGGCCTCACCAACGCATCAAGTTTCCCCCGGGTATCTCCAAGAGTGAAACTGTTTGTGCAGCAAAATCATCCGAGACGAAGGAAGACCTAGCAACTCCTAAAACCATTGGGTCTCAAAAGCAGGACCATTGGATCCTTGATAAGAAGAACAAGCAGCTCATCCGTGTGCGTCACGCCTCGCAAGGCGCTGTTCACACCAAATAGAGCCAAGGAATGTCCAATCAATCCTGATAACATCAGCCGAGAGCGTACTACGGAAATCATTGATGCATCTGAAGGTGGAGATCCAGACATCCTAGAAGACAATTGGAGACTTACATCCCAGGCAAACAAACCGATGATTAACCTGTGGATAGGTAAGACCATTTTCACCTTCGCGGACAATTCGCTTAAGGACGAAGAAGCAGGCTCAGGATCGGCAGCAGACAGGATCATCGACAAGAAGGGCCGGTCGACCATTGAGCCAGATCCTTTCGCACCATCCTCAGAAGAACCAACGACGCTTCCGCTTGCACTAGGCAGAATCCACAAGCGATTGTCAAATCCCGAAGAGTTGAAGAAGCTCCACCTCCAGCATCATCACATGACAACAGATCAATTTCGATTTAGAACCCGCTCACTTCATTTGCCGAAATCAACATTCGATCTATTTGACAAAATCCGAAGTGAATGTGAAGTTTGCCAAGCGGCAAAACATGCACCATCACGAAGCAAGACGAGTGGACTTCGAGCGGACACCTTTGGTGACATGACATTCATTGATCACTGTCAAGTTCCTCTTGGAACAGGAGAACACATCATTGTTTTTGTCATCCTGGATGGAGCAACAACATTGCTCACTGCAGAGGCAGTGACAACTACGCAAGAAGTCGAGAACATCACTGTCCTCAGGAACTATTTTGACCAGTACCACTTGCAGCCCAAATCAGTTGTCGCAGATCAAGCCTTCATGACAGAGACATGGGAACATTTCTATCAGTCCCTTGGCATCACACCGATATCCTTGGGACCGAACACACCATGGCCAAATCGAGCTGAAGCTGCAGTTCGACTCCTGAAGGCACAACTCAAGATCATGCTAAGTTCCATCAAGGCAGGCACAGCACCTGCAACACTGAAGAAAGTGACATACAGACAGTATGAAGGCAGCTGCAACTGTCACAACTGTCAGGAATCAGACTGTCACCTACGGGGGTGTAACATCATTGGAGCTCGCATTCGGAAGACGACCAGCAGATCTCATCCAACTTGATGTCGCAACACCAACTCAGCTAACGATTGACAGGAACGAGGAGGAGATGACAGCCATCCAGATCAAGCAGCTGTCCAAGAAAGCATTCCAAGAAGCACGTCATGAAGACATCCGACCAGACCTTGCTCAAAATCTTCGAGTGAGTTCTAAGCCTCTTCAGGTGAAGGACAAGGTATTTTACTGGCAGGAAGACAAATCCAAGATCCGTTCCGATGGAAGCAAGGGAGGAATGTGGCTAAAAGGAAAAGTCATTTCCATTGAAGGAGCAATGGTAGGACTTGATCTTGGGACTCGACTCATCAAGGTTAACATGACGAAGGTCAGAAAGGATGAAACCATCCCTCCGCAGAAACCTGGAATTGATCTTCTATTGCCAGAAGAGCGAGAATCCTTGCAGAAAGAACAACCCGGCTCCTCTGCCGATACCAAGAAGAAGAAGTCATCAGCACCAGCTCCTAAGCCAAAATCCTCAGTGCCATTACGCATCGCGGGAAAGACAACTCCCAAGCCTGCAGCACCTCATCCGGCAGAGAACATGTTCGTCGAGGACCTCACATCCGTTCCTGAACCAGCACATTGGAATTGTGTACGTAAGGGAAAGATCCACGTTCTCGAGATCTTTGCAGGAAGTGCCAGATTCAGTCAATGCTGTGCACTCTCAGGTCTAAAGGTTGGGACTCCCGTAGACACCCGCACCGGATTCGACGAGACATCCGACTGGTGTATGGAGCAGGTCGTCGATGAGAATCCATCCGCCTCTCAACAACCAGATAACGTCAACATGGAGCAGGTTGATTATGACCGAGATACCGACAACGATGATGACCTGGATGACGAAGAGCAACCTCTTGCAGGAAATCCAATGCCGAAGGCGATGCCACATCCAAAACAAAGTCACCACCAACAACACTAAGGCTTATGTCAAAGATGAAGCCAGCACCAAAAAACATCCTGGATGAGGACAGAATCCGACAATCATCCTGGCAACCGACCTGCACTTCCAAGGCGACCAGCGATGCGGCCAACTCTCACATCCAACGATCGGTGGTATGTACCAGATGGATCAGATACCGACACAGAGGGAATCTGTACATCCAGGACCTTTCGTAACTTCCTGAATTTCGTGTACGCATACTACAAGGAATTCTCAACCATCCTCGAGATGAGTCCGGACTTCCACTTCATTCCTGAGCATGAACGACAACATGGAGCCAAGGTTTTCTGGTTGAAGGCCAGATTCAATGATTACTGGAAGCCAACACATGGACTTCATCAAGAAGGTCTACAGCATGTGCTGCTATGCTTTCGGAACCGACATCATTCCGATGGTGTGTCACAATCGCCATATTGATCTCGAGAAGACCGTCCTGAATGTTGAACAGGTTTGCAAATATTTCCACATGGCTCCAAACAAGGCAAAACAGATCACCGATCTCATCCTCGGGCGAATCGAGCGATTGAGCAGATTGTTTTCCGGATGTTTTCGACATGATTCCACGCTAGGCCAACACAGAGAATGCAAACGACAAGTGGACATGGGTCTTGATGGATCCGTTGAGCTCTACGATGCATTGACCTGCGTTACGCATGCCAGGAACTACATGGGCAATAAGCCAGGACTTCTTTTGACGGCTATGTTCCCGAACCATGGGAAGGCACGTTTCGAGATTGCGTTCGTGTATCCATCCGGGGTCATACCATGAGCGCAAGGCAAGGGGAGACATTGTTCCAAGAAATCGATGGATCGACAACCTCAACTCTAGATCCGCATACGATGCACTCCGGCCTAATGGCAAGGAATTCCTCAATGATCCCGACATGGAGTTCTACGTGAGATGCAACAGCGGTCATACACGACAAGTCCATCTCCAATCTTTTGGACGACCTCTGTACTCCGAGCAGAAGAGTGAGCCTCGCCAAGAAAAACCGGACTATGATCTTCCAACGGAATCCATTCGTCCAAGTCCGCATCCGTCAAGATCCGACGCGCCCCAATCCATTGAAGAAGAGAGAAAGATCAAGCCGTTCGCGAAAAAGCCCATCACTTTCATGTTCCATGCTACATACGGAGAGAATCTGATCAACATCATGGAGCACGGGCTGAAATCTGGGAGATCCCAGTCAAACCCTTCGGGGAGAGCGCGCATCCACATGGCATGCATCGACGACGTTATCCTTGACGACGAAGCGTCAGAAGCAGCATTGACACATGTGCCAACAGGAAGAGATGCCTTGTTGATCCTGGCATTTCTCAAAGACCAGGACTATGACATCCGACTTTCCGAAGAGCGAACAGCATTGACAGATCAAACCATCGAGGCGAGGAACATTGTTACAGCATTTGATCCCGAGGGAAACATCATACTGAGTAACAGTTGGATCATGAACAAAAATTTCGGTCGTGAAGACATTGAGATGTACAACAGCAAGATCCACACCGCTGCCTTCTTCAAACATGTGAAAAATGACCACCAAAACAAGGAAAAGTCCGAAAAAGATACATCCACTGAGACCAAGAAGCGACGGCACTCCACCGATCAGGACGAGGCTGAAAGAGGAGAACATGGAACCCTCCGGGGAGAGATCCGCCAAGCCAAAGGTCACCATGGAGTACCCCAATCCTGAGAACCTAGACGAGTTCATCCAGGAACTCAAGGAAATCTACCTCAAAATAGAAATGAGCAAGAAGGACGCCGAGGAAGAGCTCTTGGAAACCAAAAGGAACTTCATCATTTTCATGGAGAAGTACAACAAGGATCCAAGGACAGCTCACCCTAAATTGACAGAATGCGAGAGAGCCTCATTGGCACACGTCGATCCCGATGTCAACCTCGAAGAAGAAGAGTTCTATTTCCGCCATCAAGGAGAATGTCCCACCATGGACGAGTACCGGAAGGCACAGCCAGTATCAGGATACCCGATTATAAAGCTTCCACTTGGATTGAAGAAGCTTATAGATCACATGACAACCCAGAAGTCACTCGAGCATTTGCCGATATCCTGGGATCGCTGATGCAGCCGACCGACCGTTCCCCTGTGGAAAATCTCAAGACGCATGAGTTCATCTCATCCCTGACGATCAACATGCTTACTATGAACCATGGAAACCTCACGAGGAATCCAAAGCTGGACAACATGCAGGGAGGTGTACAACATGGCGATGAAGGATCGACCAATCGTGAAGATGATGATGCAGAACAGCGCACACATCTTATGCCTCAATGAAGCAGACGCATTCCTCAGTCCTCAAGATGATAAATCCAGAGAACTCATCAAGACGTTCATCCGACTCGGGTACAAGGGCATCGTTATCAAGCAATGGTCATCCAGACCAATTGCATGCTTTGTCCGCGGCGGAATTTCCGCAAGAGTGGAACTATTGGCAAGACACATACATTTCCACAAAGAGTCAGAATTGGGGAACCACATTCGAAATGTTCAGATGTTTCTTCGGAACCGAGGAGAATTGCACTGATCCTGAATACGACATTCCGACCTCGGACTGCATGGCAACTACGGGACCATCCATGTTTACTGAATCCAAGAAGTACATCGGACCGAGCTTGCCACCACGCACCACTGTCCAAGGACAGAGATTGTCGTTCTCCACATCGAGTCGTGGTATGCTCCCAAAATCATCCAACAAATCACTCCTCGAGTTTGACAGCCGCCACGTAACGAGGGCAGACCTCCCGTTTGCTACCATTGGAGTTTTCCACATTCATCCATCTATCAGCCATGGAGCAGCACGGGAAGATCTTCAGAACGAAACCATGCCACTCGTGACATTGTACCAATGCGATGCGATCACCGGAGACGCCAACAAATCCGCGAATACCTACAGCAGACTCCAGCACGTCTTCAATCCGGCCAAAGGTCTCATGAATATCCTCATGAAGGAATATCAGAGATTGTGGAATGAAACGGAGAATCTGCCACTCGTGGACAGTGGAGTATGCAATGGAGACTTCACGCACCCTGAAGTCCATCGTCCGTCATCACCTATACATGAAGACTGGATCAGGGTATGATCGAACATTCCCAGATGTGATGATGACATTCGTGTTTGGCTGGGGCAAAACGAATATCCAGCAGGTTTTCCGGAAGGAAGAGATGAACGTCATGAAGGATGAACAACTGGAAGCCATGCGGAACGATCCGACGTCTGCCATTTTCGACTATCAGGTCTCGTCCGCGGAACAATTCAAGCACGTGAACAACGATATTTTTCTGAATGGCTTACAAGATTCCGACTCGCACAGTCCGCTCATGGTCTACATCCGCAGTAGATCTGCCGCCAGGCAACGCGATCCAAGGAGCACCTCAAGAAGAAACAATCCTGGACTCAGCAAGACTACAAAGAGTACAACAAGCAGTACTGGGGCAATCCAAAGCAACGGAAGGACTATGGCGACTCGCCCTGGAATGATTATGGAGACTGTGGCAGTCAATCCGACAGCAGCCGCAGGTGGTACCGCTGATCACCTGATGAAGCAGCCACCTTTGGCACTGATCCGACCGACTTAAAAAAACTCACACGATCGACACTACGAACTTCAACCAGATTGATCCTCACCGCCAACAAGACTATTCAGTGAGAGATCAATAGTTTCACATCCGTCCCGCATGTACATAGTGTTGTGCATCACCTTTTCGATACATCTAGGTACCTCACAGAATCAGTACAGACCGTTTTCCATTTTGCTCACATGACAAATCATCCGCGCCAAAATTGGATGAATCATTGTAACAATACATGGCTACGGCGCTTTCAAATATGGCTACGGCACGAAGGCCAAGAAGCCAATCATACACTTTGGTGTGAAAGGTCAACAGAAATTTGTGTCTGTTTTGTGTTGCTTTTTGTTGCACATTGACCTATTCACACACTCCGCTGACATGATGGCTCAAGGCCCTTCAAGTCATTTGTGCAGTCATTCGACTCATGGTACAGTGATAAAAAGGCTTGCAGACCGCTTCACAGGATTCACACTCAACACAAGCCACCAGGGACAATCCATCCTCCAATCCTCCATATTGGCATATTGGACTCTCTCCAAAATAGATCCAGGGACCAAATCAACGACCTCTACTACCACAGGGCACCAGTTCCGTTCTGGGGGGATAGGCACCCCGGCAGTGTGCCTCAGGGGGGGGGCGGGCTGGATTTCCAAGCACGTTGCTTGGTTGAGACAAAGCAAATATAGAGATTCTCACGCGCTCGTGTTCTCCAATGAGTGTATTTTTGCCAAGGAAGTTGCTGCAGGCAAAGTTGGGTTCGCTTGGTTGCTCAGAATGCTCCCAATGTGACAATTTGTGGAGATGTATTTGGCTGTCAGAAAGCTCAAAAAAACCAGCCTGCTTAGTTTCCTTCACTTGCCTCGGGCCCTGTGTGTTTGAATGACGTTTTCGGCAGTTCTCAACATTTTGCTGCCGTTTCTCAGCGCCCCTTGATTTTCATCACTTGTTGGCGCCCAGTGCCCAAAGTTCACCCAATTGGCATGTTGTATCAATAGGCGCAAACAGGCCAGCCAACAAAGACGTTTGGGTAGAAGGAACATATTGCTCTCCCCTTGAGAAATCTCCCATAGTCACACGCTTTTCAGTGCGCAGAAGGTGCAGCGAGCCCTTTCGCGACTGATGCACCGTCGCACGCAAAGCAGCAGGACGAGTTCCAGGCCCTGCGCAAGCTGCAATCCGAGGAGGCCGCCCTGGAGGAGCTGAAAGGGAAGAGGCCAGGGAACGAGTCTTCGTCATGAAAGTCCATGAAGCAGTGGCCTGAAGCAGCTCTAATGTGTTTGGTCAGCCAAGCCTATGTGCGTAAGGCACGTCCAAGCTGCCAGCCGCAAGCTGCAGTTCTCATTAGCCGTTTTGCGCTGTCGAGATTGGAAATCAAAATCCTGCAGCTCATTCTCCATTTGACTGGGAGCGGTCGAGGCTGTCCAAAGTGCAGCTGGCTCAGCTCTTGGAGGAGGCTGCCAGGAGCGACAGCGCGAGGCCTTGGCTGGAACATGGAGAGTTGGACCGAGGATCTTACGAGCGCCTGGGGACGCCAACTTGCGTACTGCCAACATTTGAGATAGGATTCTAAGCCGTGCCACTGCAATTCAGAGCGTCCACGACGGTGCGATGCAGCGCAGGCTTTGCGAGTTGAGCCGGCCAAATCCTTTTGCAAATCTGTGACTCGCGCTTGCGGTGCATGTGGTGTTGCGCGAAGGCTTGAGCTAAGGGCTCCTTTGGCTGGACACCTCTCAGGTATTTGATGTTCATTCAAACCCCCTGAAAGCTAAGTGCTGTTCGAGAGATCCCGACCCAAGCCTCGTAGGTGTTTGGCGACCGCCATCCTGCTGATTGAAGGGAGTTTGCTCAGGGTGCAGCCGGGTCACACTTTAGTTCACTTTTGTAGACTCTAGACCCTGTCCTCGGAAGTCGCGCAAATCCGATGGCGTATGTCTGTGATCTTCAGCGCAGCGACTGGGCAAGGGCGCTCAAACCCATTGAGGATAATGCCTCGAGCAATGGCCGTTCTACAGGCAATGCCGGATCTACACGCCAACAATGAAGTGTTTGAATGGTAAGGTAATGTTTCAGAGTTCTGCGGGCGTTTGCAAAGCCATTGTGATAAGCGCAGCCTTGAAGTTGGCAAGGTTGCTCTTGCTTCTGACTTGTGGCTGGTGCCGCAGCCTGGCGGCCCTAGCTTGAAAGGCAGGGCACATTGAAAAACGTCTTATTTCTGACGCTTCTGTTCCTCGCAAGGCATCGAAAGCTTCCCCGTTCACCGACGCTTCTCGCCAGGAGCCGTTTCCGAGGCCAGCTCCTGCAGCAACTCCTGCAGGAGCTGCAGGAACTGGGCTGCGACCACGGCTGGCATCAGGCTGACTTAAATCGCAACGTCGCATACCGTTGGCCCCTATTTTTGAGCCCCATTTGGCATCTGGGCCGCAACACACTCTTGGCCAGCATTGCTTTACACTTCTATTGCCCCCAAGTGTTTGCCGGGCGTTTTTTGTGCGTGATTGCCATCACGTTTGTGCGCACCTACGGCGCAATCAAGCCTTTAGCATTTGCGTCAGAAAATTGTGCCGCCCCTGCTGTTGATGCAGTTACCATTCGGGCAAGCCGTTCCGAAAGCTGGGGAGTGATATTTTTTGTAGCGGCGAAATGAACTTCCTTGTCACTGACGGCAACATGTGCAAAACCTGCTGTCTTATTATCTGAGCGCATTGATGTCTCTTCTTGACAAGTTCCTTGTGGTGGCTGACGTGGGTGGCAGGCAGCAGCCTTGGATGCAACCTTTGCACGGCGGCCGCTGGATGCAGCGCTGCAAACAGCAGTGGAGGCCAGTGCGAAGTTGATGCCGCAGCCGTTGACGTGGTCTTATGTTGCAAGTGTTCCTCATACGGAAGACGACACTAACGGCCAAGAGGCGTAAAACACCCATCAAACATGCTTGACACGCGCTACGAGCTTCTTCACAAAGCAGGGCTTTAGGAAGTATCTGATTGACTGCGCGCTGACGGCGGCCACACAACCAGGCAAAACAATTAATACTGCCCAGAGCATCGCCAACGCCATGCGCAACGATCAGGGAAGAGTTGACATTTCAATTGTTGACCTGACTATTACCCAGTGTTCCAACAAAAAACCCTTGCAACCAGGACGATGTTTGCAACATGAGGTGGAAATTGTGCTTGTGTGAAGTGGCGCACGGCATAGAAGCTAGATACCCCAAGCGTGTTTCCCATAATCCACGATTTGTTGAGATCAGACTCACACGGCACTTGCCGCTGCATGCTGCCGTCTACAAACAAGACGAGCTTGTTTCATTATGTTTCACAAGGACTGGAAGCCACCATTGCTCCTAGCATTTCGCAATTCAGCATCCTTGGCAAAGCTACAGATTATGCAGTGCAGTGCAACCATGGCGGACGGATCCGAGTTTGGATTGGTAACTATGGACCAACATTGTTATAGTCCGATGTTTGGATTCTTACGAGCATGTTTGTTGGAAGTTTGAGCTATGTCAAAATGCCTTAAAGCATATTCATATTAAGCTGACACGCACATACACTCATCCGTGTTTGGATCCAAGCGTAGGATGGGCCGGCTTGCTTGTGTCGCTTACAGAGTGTTCTGAAATTGTGCAACATCTTTGCCGCAGCCGTGACAGACATTTTGCTGCGCCAGAGAGGCGCACCCATGGTCAGCGACTTGCCTTTGAGCCGAATCCCAAATAGTAGGGCCAGAGTAAAGCCGCGCCATGGCCTGCACTGTTGGCAGGTCCCTCACAACTCCCGTGAACAAGTTCAAAAAGCAATATAGCATCAACTTAATCACTATCTGATTAAACAGATGATTTCCTCAACGGGAATCTCGAAACCAACCGAGCAACACATTTGCTGAATCTGCGATTGCTCTGCGCCATGGACGTGCCGCGTCGCACTTGGCAGGAGGCCAGATTCGGTCGCCATTGTTATTTGCGGCGTTGCGCATGAAGACGCTCCATTTGTTTGAGTTGTGGATGACACTTGACTTGCGCTGAGATGTTGCTTGCAAAGGCTGCAGAGTTGGTGTCCGACAAAGCCAGTGTAGGATGGGTTCGCCATCCACACAATTCAAGGGCGGTGCCCGGCACCAGCTGAGCTGGCTGTCCAACAAGGAAAAGCTTCGACCGTTTCTTCAGGGAGCTTGCCGCCTAACAGGCAACCCCACTGGCCCACCCGCCGTGGGCCGCCGCCCCGCGTTACCCCGGCAACCCCTAAAATCCGCAAGCAACTTTTGAGATACCGCCGTTGAGTGGAATTCGCGGACCCTCAAGCTTCCCCAAGCGTGGTTTGCTCATGTTTTCCTCAGCTGGGGATGCGTGTAGTTGTTTTTTTTCTGGAAAAGGTCCCCACAAGTCGATGCAATCAAGCTCTGTCCTGCGAATGCTGCTTGTTGTTCTTGTTTGTTTGACGCTTTCTTGTGAAAGGTCCTCGCAGGACATGAATATGGACGTTCGGTTTACCTTCCGTCTGTTGTCAGCGGATTTGCGTTTCTGTCGCGCAGTTCTTTGTTCATCGTCGTGGGGTACATGTTTGTTTCCATTTCGGATGCGGGTGAGACGCGGCGCGCCAGCGACACATGTTGTGGCCTTCATCAAACCACAACTGGCGGCAACAAAATGACCCTTGCCTAGTTTGCCTCGGGTCACACGAGTAGCACGTCATAGCCCTTGCGTGTTCGCCCGACCCGTGGAGCAAGACCCTAGTGTGTGATCGCCGGCGTCAAGGAAGGTAAAGAATGCCTTGGCGTCAGAGGTGTGGGGGTTCAATATTCCGTTCGGCCGCAAAGTGACAATGGGTAATGTCGACCTATGAATAAAACAAAAACTAAATGAAAGTTATGTTTAGTGTTTTTTTTGGGGGGGAGTAGTTTATTAATCAGAGGTAGACATAAACTTTTTTCCATTTAGTGGATTTAGTGGTGAAAGTCATCCTTTGGTGGTTTCCCTAAGGGTCACCCCATGCAAAGGAACCACTAGGCGCCACAAACCAGCGTTGCCAGGTTTCAGATGCCTCGCCTTGCGCAGGTGCGCGAGGGCTGGCAATTCAACCCTCCGCAGCTTGGTGCCCGCTGATTCTGCTTGAGTTGTCTGTTGCGTTTCGCACTGTTGGCAAAGGCCAAAGGCAGAAGCTGAGCAGAAGCTGTTTGGATCCAGAAGCGCGTCGGGATCAGGCAATGTGCTTGTTTAATTGTGCGCCCATTAAAAGCTGAAACAGATGATTGATGTTGCGATTCATCCAAGATGTCGAATGTCCAGTCCGGTTTGACTCCCTATTGGGTTGACTTTTCGCTGTATCCCGAGTCCCATGGGCTCCCTGGATTTCCAAGTGATGCGCTGCATTGGCAACATGTGACATCACATCCCTCTGAAGATGACCGCCGTTACTTGTAGCAGCGAAGCGTGGTTCACGTATGTCACACATCGAGTTTCGCAGATGCAAAGGCCTTATTCCCTGCCCAACAATCCACTGAAGGCAGTCCTGGACGAGGTTGGCATCTCAAGCGGCTCCAGCAGAGGCGCAGCGGAAGGTGTTCGACCGTGTCAACATTGCCAGATTTGGTTGCCAGCATGGGAGGCGAGAAATTGAACACATGTTTGGAACAAAACATATTTGCACCAGTGCCCGGGTCTATTTTGATACAGATTCAGTCTGGACTGCCACTGAATTGTGTTGGAGTTGATGGCATGACAAGCAAGCTGTGCTTGTTTTGGAAGCTGACGCTCTCAGTGGTTGCGCGTGTGCTCACTGGCATTCAGGAGTGGCAGGCTGAAAAGCATTCCCGTGTTTGCACCGACTTCGGGCAGGAGAAGGAAAAAGCCAGATATCCAGTTCTGCTGCCACCACCTGAGCCTTGGCTGGGCCGTATGCTGCCAGCCGCTTGATCGCAGAGACAGCTACCCAGTGACAGACAGACAGGGTAGCAGGCTGCTCAGCAGTCCCCCTTGTTGAGTTTGATGGCTGATGCTAAATCCACGAATCAGTAACGTGGCTGGTTTCAATTCCGAAGCAGTAGTCTTGTCGACCGGCAGAGCCAATTTGGCGGTAATGAATGATTGTCGACCTTGGATTTCCACGTCAGAGCAAAATGTGGGGGATTTGGCTGTTAATTCTTAAGACGAGCTCTTGAGTATGCGTGCGTGTGACTGGCTGTGGTTTTCGCTTGCCATTCGTGGGTCTTGTGGCGTGAGGATGCTGCAGAACCGGGCGCCGAGCTCCAGGTGGGCGCCTTCTGGTGCGGCTTTGGAGTTGTTTTGGGCGCGGCTTGGCGCTCTTTCGTGGTTCCAGCGCGGCGAAGTAGGGGAAATGTTGCGAGAAGAGCCGACTGCAGCTAAGGAAATAAGAAGAAGATAGTAAAATGAAAAGTGAGTGTTTATTCCAGTTCCTTCCGGACCTTTCCCTAGCATGTCATTGATTAGGAGAGAGACAATACATTGCTTTTATGATAGGATCCTGTTAAGGTAGTAAAAGAGACAGATATAAAGTGAACACATAAATAAAATAGCAATAAATTGATAAAGAAGGAAGGATGTATTGATGAGGTAAGATGTAGAGAAATTATATAGTCTTTCTTTTCTTATTACTTCATCAATGTATCTCTCATAACTAATCTCTGTGAGCGGGAGAGAGGTTGGGAGGTGGGACAACAAACAATGAATGAAGAAATAGTAAAGTAACATAAAACCGAAAAGAAAGAGATAACAAGAATAACAAAAAAAGACAATGTAAGATAAAGAAAGTGACAGACTATTGGTCAAATATTTTATGGACAGTTGCCTTCCTTCGTCAGTGCTTAGGTAATCTCATGAATAGGAAAGTTATGTAAAAAGAAAGATACCAACTGATGAACAGTGGATGAACAGGAATTGATAAGAGAAAGAAAGAGAGATCCAGATTCGGCATAATTCTAACATGCATGTTTGCATCATTTATAAGCCAACTTTAGGATGAGGGAAAAGGTAAGATTAAGACGATATGGGGAAGATATTGATCTCTAATTTCCATCTTTCTTACATCTGGTGTACTTCTGGATTCATCATTCATAGACAATTAGATTATGGAAAGGTGGTTTGTTGGAATTTCGGTGTACAACGAACTCTTTTGAGGGGCGCGTTGCGAAATGCCAAAGCTGCACAGTCTCTGAGTGTGCGTTGGTTGGGTTGGGGTTGAGGTTTGGTTGGGGTTCGGTGCCCGGCTTCAGGCCATGCGGGGCGCAGCTCGGCTGAATTCGAGCGGATCTTCGGGCGGATTCGGGCGGCTAAGGCTCGCGCGCGAGGGCATGCTTTATGGAAATCGGGATGACTTGCGAGTCTGTTTGTTTATGTTTTCATCATCCGTTTCGGAATGGCCAGTGCAAGACCGAACTGTAATTTCAGGAGCAACGGGAAGCAGCGCGAAGGTGAAGTACAGACTGTGAATCTCGGGAATGGAACCGAGGGTAGCGAGGTGAGAAGCAGAGGCTTGGCAGCAACAGGAATGGCTTACAACAAGATCTTCAGACGGAATGGGAATCCTGTGGTTTGAAAAACAGGCGAGGATCGTCGAATGGCCGGGATGGGGGTTTGGTGCCGATGGAGTCGAAGGAGTCGGTGGGACAAATCAGAAAACGACAAATGTTTGGAAAACTCGAGCAATTTACCGGATGTTTGTGCATTGTTCATTTGAACACTCCAGGAATTCGATGTTGCTCGCAATTTACGCCACGTTCCTCTTTATTTTCTGGGCCTGCGGCCTCTAGCCGGCTACGCCTCTTTGAAGTTATACCACGTCATGTCATGTTTTGTGCATGAGAAAC